GCAGCAAAAGTTTATGCCTCAATTGAAAGCAAATCATTAGCAGTTATTGCATCAACCCTTGATTCTCTCTTGGATCTCTTGTCTGGGTTCATATTATGGTTTACTGCAAATGCCATGAAAACACCAAACCAATATCACTATCCAATTGGAAAGAAACGCATGCAACCTGTGGTAAGTTTTAATTTCAACTCTAAGGTGACAAATTCCTAAATGCATTTAGTAAAATGCTAGTATCTGTTAATGACAGGGTCGGCTTTATGGATTGAACGACACTATAATGTTGTATCGGGAATAAGTTCATTAACAAAGCATTGATGATCTATCAATGACATGGTTATTCACTGCTAGATTTTATTCTTAAACTCTTGCAAGTTTACAATCTTACGTTAATTCATATGTGAACTCTATTTTCAGTAAATTCATATGGCTTTCAGTAAGCTCTAATAAAATTGATTAACTTCTGATTCCTACTGTTTTAAGAACCTATATTTATACATTGATATGGCTTCAAAATATAAATTTTTTGGTCTGTGTTCTTGTGTAGTTAGGTTGAATTTGTAACATAATTATGTAGCTACAGAGTAATTTTTGTGTCAATCATATAATAGCTATGGTCAAAAATTTGAATCATGCTTATACTTATGTCCTTAAAGTTAGAGTGAAAATGATACATACTAACCCAACTTCATATGCAGGGTATCATAGTTTTTGCATCAGTGATGGCAACCTTGGGGCTTCAGATTTTGATTGAGTCCGGCCGCGAAATTATTTCCAAAGTAATTGATATAAACTTTCTGTTGCTCTTGTTAAAAATACCCAAAAATGGTCTTTTTTATCATTGTTTCTCAGTTCTATCATTTATGTAAGGTGTAGCAGTGATACTTTTTCTGAAGATTTTTTTTGCAACTTTTACCAGCATGATACTTATTTTTAGTCTCTAACATATCATGTTTCTTGTAGTCCAAGCCTGAAGTGGATCCAGTAAAGGTGAACTGGATGATTGGGATTATGGTTATTGTGACTGTAGTGAAGTTCATTCTTATGGTTTATTGTAGAAGATTTAAGAATGAAATTGTCAGAGCTTATGCACAAGATCACTTTTTTGATGTCATAACTAATTCTATTGGATTAGCTGCTGCTGTTCTAGCTATTAAGTTTTTCTGGTGGATTGATCCAACAGGAGCTATTATTGTAAGTCCACTATTACTTATTATAAATAATTCGAATCAGAATCCTCTCCAGAGTACTTCAGCGAAAAAGCCACATACAATAACTCACTTGTATCCATTTATTTATAATTAGAATATAATTTTACCCTTAAATTTATAAGGAAAAACAACATTCCTCTCTGTAGTACTGAAGAGGATCCGGACACACATTTTACCTGTGAATAAATCTTCTTTGTATTTATCACTTTCCTCTATCTTTTCAGTGTTATATAGGGGTGAGTGTGGGCCGGGTTGGGACGGGTTGAGGCTTGTCCTTACCCGGCCCTAAATGTTGGTCGGGTCATTTTTTTGAACCTGGACTGGCCCTAGACATTTAGTTAACCCGACCCTAAATATTTACAGGGCTACTCTTTAAACCCGACCCCCAGACCTGATTAAGTATAATGTATACTCATTTTAGATAACACTTCTAAATATTATTTACTATTGTAAATATGTAATTTGACATATAAAATAATATATGTATATATGATGAAAAAATTAGAGAATGAATGATACTTTCGACAAAAAATGTATTATTAATCTGTACACATTTGCATAGAGACACATACAAACATTATGAGTAATCTACTAATGGATGTTATCTTAATTGACTGTTACATGACAAGAAAAAATACATGGTAGAATCTGTTCTGTTCTTTTAAATTTCAAGCTTTGATTGATCTACTAATTGATGATATCTTAAATGTGTGATGTAATGCAGATAGCATTGTATACAATAAATACATGGTCAAGGACAGTGATTGAAAATGTATGGTCTCTGATTGGAAGAACAGCACCACCTGATTTTCTGGCTAAGTTAACTTACCTTATATGGAATCATAATGAACAGATTAAGCACATAGATACAGTTAGAGCATACACATTTGGTGCATGTTACTTTGTTGAAGTTGATATTGTCTTACCAGAGGACATGCGTCTGAATGAAGCACACAATATTGGTGAGACACTTCAAGAGAAGCTGGAACAACTACCAGAAGTTGAAAGGGCTTTTGTGCATATAGATTTTGAATTCACTCACAGGCCTGAACATAAGACTACGGTATGAAGAATCATAATGCTGCATGAAAAAGCTGAAGGATAATAATGGTTTTGGCTAATTAGCTTTTTGAAGTTCAAGGAATTTCTATTTACCTCTGCTGATACTATTGTTTATTTTACTTCATTTAAACCAAGTATCAGACATTTTTTGCTTTATGATGTTTGTAGTTGATGATAGCTGAGATTTTTATGATCCATGCTTATTATATATGATTATATATGATTCTAGTGCTTATTAAATATATAATGCTTAACATTATATAGTTGAAAAAATTAGAGGATAAATTGTTGAGTAAGGGGTTGAAAGTTAATGGATGAAAAACATATTTCAAGTTTTTATATTTGTCATCATAGATTAATATTATAGATTAATGGTTGAAATTAGAAGACATGTACAAGGAACGATAGTTTTAAAAACCGTGTCGTACCGGCCGGTTCAACCGGAAAACCGGTGAACCAGACCCATAACCGGTACGGTACGTATGTTATACCGCATATGCAATAGAACCGGTCAAAACCGGTTGGTTTGTACATTAAATTTTTTTTTTTAAATTTCAAATTTTTAATTCTTCACCAATTCTTCAACTTCAATGATTGATACTTGGGTCATTTATTTGTATTTTGCGTTTGTTAAGTGATAATTTTGGATAAATATATGTTTTGTACTTTAGACTTTGATTTTATTAAAGACTTAATGTTGTTTGTTTGTGTGAATTTGAAGTAAATTATGAATATGGATTATAAATATTAATATCTACTTATTTGAAATTTTTTGTTATAGGTTTACATATATATATATATATAAGCAAGTATGTCCGGTTTAACCGTACTGAACCACTTGGTTGAACCACTGTACCACTATACCAGTACCCTAACCATTTTTTCAAATATACTTTTTTACATTTGCAAATTATGAGGTCCTTCTAATAAAAACTATAATGAACCAAGTTGTTTGTTGATAATACTTATAATATTATTAATTCATTTGAACTCTAATGATTTTACACTTATTAAAGAGATTATGAAGATTACATATTGTATTTGTCAAACTTTGAAGCAACAACCCATTTTATAAATCATTTTATATTGATAACACGTAGTTTTTGTGCAAAAATTCTACCCTATGAATTTTAACGAGTCGAAGAAAATTAATTTGAGAAGTCAATTTCAACGTTTTATTGTTAATGTCTTTATACATTTATGTTTGAAAAACTCTCAATTATCTCTAAATTAAGAGCAAAGTTGTGAGTATGGAAAAGTGAATGTACATTATTTACTTGGTAGAGTTATTCATCTTATCTTAACTAGTTTGATTTATGTATTATAGAAAGATTGTTTTGAATTTCTTGTAGATGAATTTGTCATAGACAACATGAAAATTTATATTGAAAATGAAATAGTTAAAAAATTTACGATTAATTAAATAATCAATAAGTTTAAAAGAAGTAAAGAAAACACTTTAAATAAATGTTATTTTGAAACTAAAAGAAGCATGCTGAATTTTTTGCTTGTTTTGAAATTTATTTTAAAGCTTGGATTCTAGGTTTCTTTTATATAAATCATTTCATACAAGCTGTGTGTGATTAGTTCGGATTTGATTCAGAGAAGACTACAAATGTGATTTAGTTATTATTTAAGTATTTAGTTATCTATTTATTGAAACTTGGACCGTATGAATTTGTTTGTTTGTGAATTAAGTTTTAATGAGAGAAATGAGAATAAAAGACTTGAGAGCCACCAAATACATTAATAAGATGATTCTGATGTTTTTCATTTCTGTTCTTCCTTCTCTAAAATTTAAATCACAAACAAACCCTAAAGTTTTCATTAATTTGTGGAATAAGTATGGTTTCATTATTTTTTTTTTATTTTTTTCATTTGATCCAAGAAATAACTCTACTAATGTTCTAGCAATATTTTTTACCTGGAAGACAAAAGGAGTAAATACTAGATAGGTTTTCCCACACTAAACTTAAAAATAAATAAGGAGTTAGTGACATAAACTCGTAATTGTCTAAAGTCCCTAGATATTAATGTATTTTATAAGACCCAAATTCAATATGAGATAAACACTTATTAAGAGAAAAAATTATATATTTTAAAAGAAATTAATTTTTTACTCACAAATTTCAGGAATTCATTAATAAAAAACAAAAAACTAATCTTATGATATAAAATATTGATTGATCTTAGACATCATATAATACTAAAAATAAATGAAACATCTCATAGTGACACTCAATGGGACAAGCACACCTTGAAATTATTAATTCCTTATCCATAGTGATCTTTTTGACATACAATAATGATCATCAACAACACTAGCAATGAAATATCCTTGATTAACACTATAAATAAATAATAATCTATAATTTAATATTCAATCTTAAATTTATGAATTACCAAAAAAAACACATATTATAATAATAATTTTATTTTCTTTTGCTTTTCAATGTACATTACAATAACTTTATGGGCTGAAATCTAAATAAAGAAGGCCCATAATCTAGTTCTTATATCAACATTGGGCTCTATCAACAAATCTAATAAACCATTGAATCGTTCAGCCACTATAACAAATTAGGGTTTCGCCGTGTAGTATTTAAACCCTATATCTCTTCTGAATTCATTCATCTTTTGTTCTATTATCACTATCTATTTTTTCTTTTCATGGTTCTCTTCTGGATTAATCTCTTTCTCTTGTTTTGATTTGTTATTCTTTTAATTTTGAGGCTGTGACGATGAATTTATATACCATCAAACTGTGAAAGCTTATGTAATTGAGCTTGTTGATGCAATCTATAATCTGAGCCTTTATTTATTTAATGTTTGATTATGATATTTTAATCGATTATTTCTATGTTCGATTTTATGAAAAGGCAACAAATTAGAGTCTCTGATTCATCTAATTGATGGTGCATTCAGTGCTGTACGTTGCCGATAATGACTTGGAACTGAGATTCTGGCATTTGCTCTTGATTTTTCATTCATGCTTATGCATTCAGATGTTCCTATATTTTTTATTATTAATTTCTTCAATGTTCTTGTTTTTTGAAATTTTGAAGGTCAATAGTTAAATAACTATTTCATTGTTTTGATCTAATTATTAATTATTCTTTTCAATTCCGAAGAGAGTAATCTATTTTGATTAATTCATTTTCACGCTGATATCGCTGAAGTTAGATTTATGTTATTTATAAGGAAATCGACCGAAACTTTAGTCTGTAGCAGTCATTAAATTTAAGATATTTTTCATGATTCCTTTGAGAATAAACATCAAAACAATTTTATGGGAAAGTGTTAAATCATATGAATCAATGTCTGAAAATAATATAATGTTTATAGAACATAATGTGTAATAGTGCATACTTTTTTCTCAAGTTTATGTAACATAGTCTTCTTTTTTATGCTGAGAAGAAGTTAAAAAAAATGAGAGGTGAGAAAAAGTTGAAAAGAAGATACGTGATTACACACATGGAATAAACAATTATACCATATTCATGTTAAAAAATTTATAAATTTATATAGATTTAAATAAAGATGCCAAAAGTTGTATGAACTACAATAATAATATTTAATTAAATAAATTGTTTAATATTTATGTGAATGTTAATAGTGATGATAAAATACAATCAATAATATTTTCAGGTAACTCGGAATTTTGTGTGAGAAGATAATAAGTATAATAAGAATTAGAGAGTAGTAAATAAAGTTTGTTTTGAAGTTTTAATTATAAATGTGTTCGGTTTTAAAATGTGTAAATAAATTGGTATTTTTCATAGTGAATATTAATTGTACTTTTAAAATAGTTTACAAATATTATTCATGTTCATAATGGGTGGTTACATGAGTTTTAATAGCTAGAACATTACAGTTAATTCAATTTTTTTTCTCTCTTTAGATAAATCATCAAAAGTTCAAAAATAGCTATTTGATTAAAATGTCACTAGCATTCTAACACGTTATACAAAAATATTCGAACATAAAATCACTTTTCTCTTTGAGTAATCAATTCAAAATAAGTCTCAAACCAAAATCTTATAAAGCACGTTATATAAAATAGTTGTGCGAGTTAAGGTGAGTTATATTTTTTCCACTTTATCTCCAAGCTATTCAAATGCTTAAAGTATGTGAACCGTTTGAATAAAATTAAACTTTGACATAACCAGTATGGGTACTTATGAGGCGGGTTGGAATAAGATGACTTTAACTCTTTTCTCAACCACATTTTGCTCAATAGAGTATTGGTTTACACAGAGGGTGGGAAAGATCATTTTTTATAGAGATTCATTAAACTGGTGATTTTATTTCATCCTACAATTCATTTTGTGTTATTCTAGTTTAAGAGTGTTTAACACGGTTGGATTTAAATTTTTCCAATTTAAAAGTGGTGTACTTCTCATTCGATTAAGACTACAAAATGTATGCATTTTAAGTCTTATTAATGATTGTACCCGTCGGATTGCCATGTCCAGTCCATCCTCACACCATTGCAAATGATAGTAACACAGGAAGCACCATATATTTGAAGAAGCGAGTTTGTATTGTGGTTATCCAACATGACATGTAATAAAATGTAGCCTTTTCCCATTGATGTATGACACAATCTTTAATAAAGGCAAGTTGTATATGTTAGTCTTATATGTATCGTGGATGATAAGAATAATGTTGAATTTAAGCTATAGATTTAAGGAAATTGTGCCTAAAATGTTTCTACAATGATAAGTTTCATATTTTGCATCTATCAATATCTTCATTAGAATTGTCGTGTGCGTGTTTTGGAAGGCCTAAGATCTCTATTTTGTACGAAAAAAAAAGAAAATGATATATCTTCTTACTAAATCTTCATACCCACTAAAAAATGATATATGTTACAAAATGATATTTTATTTATTAGTGATTGATTTATAAGTGACATATGTCATTTTTTTATGAGTAAGAGGATTAATATGATGATTTAGTAGGAGAATATAACATTACTCTTTGAAAAATAGTAGTGGAATGGTTCATATAATAATCCTTTAAATGTTATTGTAATTATTCATAATAGTGGTTCTTTGGGGATCAAGTAAGGCATGAGGATAGTTTTGGATTTAATGTCTTTTTGATTTAATAGACACATAAAGTCATGTTACACTTGTACTCATAAATTTCATTTCTTAGTTCATACACTCTCCCTTGGTAACCATTAAATTTACCATTAATGTAACCACTAAGAGGAAAAAAGGATTATAACTAAATGGTACCTAGAAAATGAATATACCCCCTCTTAGTATTGGCTCTTGATTATGTCCGAACCTTAGAAGAATATCCATTTTAGAACTCCATTTTGGGAGGACCCTCCTTGTATTATTTTCCTCTCTTAGAGGCTGCAGTTCATTTCATTTCAATGAACCTTATCCAAACAAGCATTTGCAAATTATGCACCATTCATTCAATCCATAACACATCATGAAACCGGAGTAGAAGTAAATAGTCAATTGTATCACACACAAAAAAAGTGTCTCGATGTACGAGACTTTCACTTAGTAAGATATTAATAGGGTAAATGTATACAATAGTCTTTCTCACAAGTGAATAAAATGTTTTTAGAATTTGAACATGTAACCTCAAACTTATATATCTATCTCATATTTTTGTCTCTACCTCAAGATATTAGCATCAATCTATTTCTTGTAGCCTAAGTTGGTGTTTTAGACTAGAAAAAGTAAAAAAGTCCTCAAATTGGAAGTTGTGTGTTTATTTATACTATATTTGTATTAAACATCTGATAATAGAGTACAAGTGTTGTTCATAGGAATCTAATCTTTGATTTTTTTTGGTCATTATAGAGTTGTAGTGGTAACTTATACTACTAGACTAACGTTTTATTAGTAGTAAAGTTCTTACTTTAATATTTGTTTTTTCCTCTCTTTATGAATGAGTAGTAATTGGTGGTGTTTGAATTTGACCGTTCTCATAAATCACAATTTTTTGAACCATAGAGTTTAACATTTACTTTTCAAGCGAAAAAGATATAGAGGAAACAAGCTAGACGCGAGATATTTTGTTGTTAGGAAAAACATTCCTCCATATGAATAGTAAAAGAGAATTTTGTGCTTCAAACACTACAAAAAGCATCAATTGTTGGTGAGTTATTGATCTTTATGACATTGAAAATTATTAAAGTTTCTAATCACAATATTATCAAGGTCATGAAAATTAAGCTAATTCTTAATTCTCCAAATAACAATAAGAATAAGAACCTACTACCTATGTTTCAAGCTTCCAAGTATGAAATTAATATCTTGGGCCAATTTTAGCACATGTCTAACATGTTATTTGAGTGTGTAATCACTTTTTTATATTGTTATTTATATGAACTTATTTAATTAGAATTTGACATTCTTATAGTGGATTCTTTTTCATTCGACTTTAGCACATGTCAAATGCCAAATTCAACTTAAATAAGGTTATGTAAATAATAATATAAAAAAGTGATCCTACACTCAAATAAACGGCATAACCATTGCTTTTTCAAGCACATGGTGATGATATTATGAGGGAAAATATATCTCACTTCCTATAAAGTACTTTCCAAGTGAATGTAAAAACTTAGATGAAATCTCACAAAAGTTGATGGAAAGAATTTGGACAAAGAAATTATACCTTTCTTCTCTTGTTATAGCCTATACTTAATAAAATTTAATAATAGATAATATTAGGACTATCAAGCAATGTTGTGAAATCCGAGCTGGACGTCAAGCCGGAAGAGCTTCCGTATTAGGTCTAACCGGTTTAAACAGTTAATATAATGTACAAAATTAAGAATGACTCGTGTAAGTATAAAAAATGGATGAGAGATTTATATAATTTTACTAAAATTCTGGGGTGTGTATAATTAAATGAAATATATATGATAAGAATGCAAGGGGCAACTTGCAAAATTGAAAATATTTGTGTCCATAGATCCTATTCCATGGCCATGTTCAAAGCCACTCAAACATGAATATCAAAAGTTAACAACAACCTCAATTTTCCTCACAACACAAAACATAAAACATATCTCTCTCTCTCTCTCTAATGAAAAGGTAATATCTTTAGAAAGAAACCATTTGATAGCATTAAAGATTATGGCTTTTCTTCTACCAAAGATTCAACCTTCTCTCTTAGCTCAATCCAAATCCAACATAGACAAACAACAACACCTTCACCAAAATCTCTCACTTTCAAAACCCATTTCTCACTTTCCTATATCTTTCACCTCTTCCATTGCACAAGTTAACACACCACTAAGTACTCATGATAAGCAGAAACAGCCAAAGGATGAGTTCTATGTTAATCTTGGTCTTGCTGTTAGGACACTCCGTGAGGACATGCCTTTGATCTTCATTAAAGACCTCAATTATGACATTTATAGGTTATTCTCTCACGTTATCTAATCATGTTTTATTTGTTTTTAGTTTTTGTTTTGAAGTTTTAAGGATTTCTTAGGAGATTAGTTTTGATACCCATCATTTAAATTTTATGAACTACCTTAAGAGTAACACATTATCTACTCAATTGCGATTATGTTGCGTTTAATGCAATTGTGGAAAAAAAGCAGCCGTTAGGGTCGAATTGTGGAAAAAATCACAATTTTAGGAAAATGCACAAGATAGAACCATGGTTGTTCCACAATTGTAGCAATATGATTTGGTAAGGTTCTATCTCAAAACCAATTGACTATGAGAGGAGTAGCCGTACATGTATTTCAACCATTCCCGAGTGGGACTTACTTCCTAACATGTCCCCTTCACGTAAGTCTGTTGGACCAGACAAATGGTTACCTACCT